GGCATGAATCCAAATTGATTTTGAGAAACATCAGTATCACATCGTAACTTATGCTCCATAACTCTCTCCCAAAGATTTAAAGTATGACACATTAACTTAATTCTTCTATAATTCGCACAATCTTGTGAATCACCTTTATTCTTAAAAATAAGAATCAACACCCTCATTCTCTACTCATCTGGCATCTTTTTAGTGTTCAAAATAATATTAAAAAGTTTCATAAACTAAGAAATTACTTCATTTTCTAAGCATTTCCATACCTCTACTAGAATATCATCAAGTCCAATGGCTTTTCCACACTTCCTTTTCTTTAAAGCCTCCATAACTTCGGTTTTACTAATATTCCGATAAAAATAAAAATCTTTATTATCAACCGTATTCTCACAATTTTCATTGAAAAGTTTAGCAAAATATTTCATCCACCTTTATTGAATATCTTCTTCAAATAAAAATATTTTTTTATTTTCATCCTTAATGCGACACTTGCATTAAATCCTTACTACTCATATCTCTTTATTTGGCAAATTTATACGTATATCTTTCATCATCCTTAATATCTAATTTATTATATAAATCATTAAAAGATAAAATATTTGCATTGTATATTACTTTCTTAGACTCCTTACGTGCCTCTGTATATCTTTCTCAATTATCAGAGTTTTTACATCTAAACCATTATTATAATAAACTTTCTTACTTTTTATCTTTTCATGCACATTTTAATTCCACTACCAACTGTTTTTACTATTAGGATATTTTCCCTTTAATACTCTAAATACATATTTTGCAATATTCTTAATATCACTATCTTTTTCCACATAACATTAGTTTTCTCATGAACAGACAAAATCTTAAGATCTAAAATTTTACTCTCAAAATATTTTTATTAATATTCTTTAAAAACTCTCATTTAATCCTACAATAATATTTTACTTTATTTTTTATATTATGCCCATTCATTTTAACGTTCAAAAGTAATAAGATTGAACACATAAACTTGCACTAGGAATAACTTTACAATCTTTATAATCTAAATCATATTTTTTTCTTATAAGAAAATAATCAATCTGAGTTTTACAAAATCAATTATTATAAGTGATTAGATGTTCATCTTTATTTTTAAATAAGGTATTAGCAATTACAAAGTCATATGCTATAGAAAATTTAATATGGTCTTACCATCTTTATTAGTTACTCCAAATTCATAGCCACCATGAATGCTTTTAAAATTATCTAGCTCTCCACCAACATGTTCATTTCAAACTCTAATAAAAACTTTTTTTGCAAGAGGTATTTTTTGTATTAATTCATCCAAAGTCATTTTAAAATTTTAATTTTGAATACATATCCAAACCTATTTGGGGAGCATAAGCATTTATAATATTAATAATCATAGAATCAACAATAATCTTTACAAAAGATAGTACAAAAGATATAGTAAAATACTTGGTCAAACTACTTAATTAATTGAATATAAACATTATTAACTCATTTCTTTTCTAAAACTCTCCAGAGCACTTCTCATGGAAATTTATCATATTCTTTCTCCAAATTAAGAAATATCATATGAAGATCCTCCTTACTCTCTCTATACTTCTCAATCAAACCTTTCAACAAATATACAGCTTCCATTGTAGACCCACGCGGCCTGAATACAAAATGATTTTAAAAAATATGAGTATCATGTCGTAGCCTATGCTCAATTACTCTCTCCCACCATAATTTTAATCTATGACATTAACTTAATTCCTCTATAATTCATGCATTTTTGTGCATCATCTTTATTCTTAGAAATAAGAACTAATACACTTCTTCACTCTTCTGCCATCTTTTATTCTTCAAAACACTATTAAAAAGTTTAGTAAGTCAAAAAATCCCTTGATCTCCAAAATATCTTCACACCTCTGTTGGAATAATATCAAGTTTCATTGTTTTTTCACACTTCATTTTCTTTAAAGTCTATCCAACTTTTATTTTGCTGATATGATGATAAAAATAAAAATCTCATTTAGGATGCTAAGGCCATTAAAATTATTTGTCTTCTCATAATCTTCATTAAAAAGCTTATCAAAATATCACATCCATCTATGTTGAACATTTTTTTCAAAGAAAAATAGTTTTTGATCATCATCAATAATACCCTTTACTTGAACTATAGATCCTTACTTTTCCTATTTCTTTGCCTGGCTAACTTATGCATACATCTTTCGCCCTCCTTAGTACCTAATTTATTATAAATCACTAAAACTTAAATTTTTTGCATCGCATGTTGCTTTCTTAGAATCCTTATAGTACCTTCTATATTTTCCCCAATTTGTTTAGCTTTCATATCTAAAATAATTTGTATAACAAATTTCTTATTTTTTTACCTTTTCTTACACATTTTAATTCAACCACCAATTATTTTTATTATCAAGAGTTTTTTTTCAAGCACATAAATTGCAACATTATTAATATTACTAGCAACTTTTTCTGACATAATATTAGCTTTCTCATAAACAAGCTAAATACTGAGATCTTAAATCTTTTTTCTTAAAAATAATTTTATTATTGTTATTTAAATGCCTTCATTTAATCCTAAGACAACCTTTTATTTTATTTCTTATATTTCAGTCTATCATCTTAAAGTCCAAAATTAATAAGCTATGTTGATTACATAAACTTTCACTTGGAAGACATTACAATCTTTGCAATGTAAACGATCTATTTTTCTTATAAAAAATAACCAATCTAAATTTTACTATGTCCATTCTTAGAAGTAATGAGATGCTCATCTCTTTTATTAAATAAGATATTAACAAATACAAAATCATAAGCTAGAGCAAATTTTAATAAAATCCTAACACCTTTATTAGTCATTGCAAACTCATAACCATTATAAATGTTTTTAAAAATTCTACCACTATACCAATATATCTATTTAAATCTCTTCAAATAAAAATTATTTCTTCAAAAAGTAGCATTTGTATTAATTCTTTTAAGTCGTTCCAAAAATTTAATTTTCATATTCAAACCTACTTGAGAAGTATAAGCACTTATAATATTAATAATTTAGCCCAACAACAATCTTTAAATCTATAATTCTATTTTTAATTCTATTTTTTTTTTACAATATTATCCTTCAGACTCTTATTTATAATCACACCTATATCATATATAGCGCGACACCTACTTGAGTCCATAATTTAAATCCTAAACTATCAACCTCTTTGATCTTTTCTTCAACTCATTTAGTTTCTTGAATATATAGAATATTTATCTTCATATGAATCATAATACTTATTAATTCCATTAATTTGCATATAAGAGAACCGATATTCCAAATGTTAATCCTAATTCTAGTTTCATGGACTAACTTTTTTACTCACATCCATCCATGATGTGAGAACCCTTGCTTATTTAACACTGAACCCAAGCATCAGTACAACAACCCTTGCACACATTTTGTCAAATTCAAGCAATATAACATGTCACTTCCAGGGAATGCCCTAACATTAACACAATATATCAAATGATTCATATCCTAATTGTTCGTCAAGTTTTACACTAGCTGTCAAATACCTAACGTAATCCTCTACTTTTCTCATCCAAGTCTTAGGGAACGATAGTGTTGGTGGAGAGAACTTACAGCATTTAATGATAAAAAATTTCAAATGCCATGCGACAATTTTCTTGAAGTATACAAATGGATATTGTACTTGCTTGCATAGTATTGCACAATTTTATTAATTTCTACCTTGTGTTTGATTTGTATTTCGGCATGTCACATATTAAGATGTCATGATAGTCAGTTCATGGAAGTAGAAAACTAGAAGTTAATGATGATGACTCTAGCGTACATACAAAAATTGAGAAAAGAATTCAAGGGAATGTGTTGAGACAAGCAATCACCATTAACTTGTGGGAAAGACAAGTAATAATTTAATTTCAAGAAGTTAAAATCTATTTTAATCTTAAATGGTGATTTATTAAGTATAATTTAATTGCAATCAATAAATCAACAACAACACTCAACCGGATAAACTAGCTCACGTTATGGAGGTAGGAAGAAGTGTTGATGTTTCATTTATTTTATCCTTATATATTTTGATCCTTTCATTATTGTGCAGATTATTTATTATTTGGTTATTAAATGTATTTTTATAAATGATTCTTATTTTATTATTATAAATTTGCTTAAATCTTATTCAAACTAACCACCTTAAATCTTAAAATACGTAGCAAGACAGTTTCACAGTATATAGCAGGATTTAACATCTATTATGCCAAATAGGTATAAAAGTTTAGAAAAGGATTGACTAAATTCGGATTTACAATATTGACTAAATCCTAGCTGCACCTAATTATCAGCCTATCATCAATTCTATTATTCTTGTTAAATTTAAAAAAAAAAAAAAAGAATCCTAAAACAGATGGCAAAATAGTTTACCATTAGCAGATGTCATGCCAAACAATTTTTTTGGATTCAACAAAATTTCGTATGGGTACTATTTGGCTGGCTAAATGGCGGGTGGCTACAGCCGGTAGTGGTGGGTGGCGGGGGACAAACGAGCTTGTTGGGGTGCAAATAGTTATCGCTCAAAATTGGGCAAGAACTATTTATCTCAAAAATGACCTAAATTGTTTTAAACTTGCATTTACTCTACTTTTCTTTTCTTTTTCACCCAACCAAACACTAAACTTTCCAAAACTCCTGCATTTACTTTACTTTACTCCCATTTTACTCCAACCAAACACCCCCTAAATGCAACTAGTTCCCGAATATCCCTCTTAGCATTTCTATCATTTCACATCGAAAAGAGGAATGCCACGAAGTCCAAAATTTCAAGTTGAGTTTCTCAAATCAAAACAGAAAAAAACCTATAATTACACAAAATTTTAGCGCTGCTCTTACAATCAGAACTGTGAATATTTACTCTCATGAAAAAAGAACGGAAGCATAGTCATTGAGAAAAAAAAAATCCTATAAGACCTGCAATTGAATACCGTCGTTTGCTTACATGCAAGATGTGAGCCTTGATGGAGCAGCTGGGTCGTAGTTTATCAGCAACGCAGCTTTCAGTGGTTCTCCTGCGCCAATGACCGGAAAAGCTGCCTTTCAGTTGTCCATTTCAAACCCACAAAAGAGGAGGGGAAAGTGAAACCTAGTAAAGTAGAGAGTGGAACAAACCAGATGTACCAAGATTATTCGCGATCCATTTCTCCCATAGCTTACGCGTCACTGCCCAGTCCGCCATAATCACGGCTTCGGTACTTAACGAGGTGACTTCGCCTTCGAGAACAAGTAAGAAAAGAAAATTACAGGTTATGAGTCCCAAGTTAGCCGGTGCCAGCAAAGGTGGCTAGGGTTGAGAAGTGAGGAGGTGCAGGCGTATCTTTGAAGGGGGTGATGCCGGAAAGTAGACATGTATATTATGCTATGCTTCAAAACTAGTCTTATTATGAAATTATGAAATTATGAAATTATGATTTTGTACATTTTGATGGTTTAAAATTAGAGGGTTATTAGTCCACTTATCTAAATTCTAAAAATTCTTAACATGTTTAGTTATTGTTCGCAAATACTTGAGAATTGAAGAAATTTGCATTTAACTGAAGCTATTTTTTTATAGGACAAATGAATTATGCCATGGCTGCTAATTAGTTTTTATAGATGTCTTGTTACTCACATAATTATAGGATTATCAAAAAAGTGTATCATTCATGAAGGGATAATGCTCAAATCAATCATCATGAGAATTAGTTAAGCTTATCTTTTAAATAAATCGAATACAAAAGAATCGTCATCCAATTTTATTCAACTATTTTCTTAGGCTAACACAATTCCTTAGACCCTTTGGTTAATTCCAAACTACCCAAACTCATTCAAGGATCATCCTACCCCTTACCCAAGTTGACCATGATTGGGTCGAATTATCCAAATGACCTTCATAGGTTAACCTTAGGTGTCCTATAATTTAATTCAACCAAACTCAATTTCATTCTATGACCATAGCTATAGAACCCTAAGGATCAACTCTAGCTATCTTAGGAAGCCTAGGCCTTGGAGAAAACCAAGCTAGCCCAATGGGCTAACCCAAGTTCACCCAAAGCACTTAAAACTCAATTTAAACCTATATAAGCTAAACCAATCCAAGCTAAAGTATCATGAGAATTCTTTGAACCTTCTAGAGACCATTTTAACTCAGCTCAACATCTAGCTTAACCTAGGTGGCCTAGAATTACCATGACCAAGCACCCATGTGCTCATTCTCCTTCAAAATTACCTATCTAACTCATCTAGCCCTTGAGTTCGATCCAAGCCGCTTAGTAGACCTCTTTATAGGCCAATTCCCATCCAACCCTACCCCTTGAAATGGCGTACTTTAGCTATTTGATTTGGCCAAGTGTTTTTTGTGATATTCCTATAAATATCCTTTACCCAGACAAAATTTCACACTGATTCCTTCAGCTTCCCCAAAGTGAGTGTGACAGAATTTGATCATCCCTCGTCTTTTAGAGCTCATTTGAGTGCAAATTTAGAAAACTTTAGTAGTCGTGCCATCAATTATGCTCTTAACTAAAAAAGAAGTTTCAATCTCGTGAATTTCAAGCTCTACTACTTTCAATAATTTTGTTCATCGGTCCTATATGAATCCAATAGAAACACTAGCCCCATCAAACACCACACAATTCCAATTAATCCTCAATCCAAAAGTAGACTCTTATGGTGTATGGGGCATTGAGAATTAGATGTGCAATCTAATTGTTGGATTGAAAATCCAGCATCCCTTGATTCTATTGGATAAATTTGGTGAAGATCCATTCATAGGTTGTGTAAAATCAATGAAAGTTCAATGGATGACCTCTATTTGAAGCGGGTGGTTGAAGTTGAAATCATGGCATCAATTTTATTTGAATGTAATGAAAGTCACTGATTAAGTTGGATGAGAATTTGTTCAGACCCCATGGTTTCATTCTCCTTTATTAAGAGATATCTAAAAGATTGGACAACTATCATTGATCCTAACTATATAGAGGCCCAAGAACTTTAAACAGAGACTAATCAGGTTGTGTAACATGAAAAGCATCGCTGCTTAACGAAATCTATTACATGGATTTAATTAAATTATATAATTGTATGAAATTTTGTAAGTTCATGAAAAACTCATTTTAAATCCAAAAAATACATATAAAGGCATTATAAAATCAAGAAATTGTTTAGAATATTATAAAAATAAAATGGAGAGTTCTCTGAAAACCATGTACAATGTATGAATCAATCACCTTTAATTGCCCTTAAACTCAAATGGGAAATGGTTTTAGGATGTCTTGTGCATCCCCACTTTTTCTCAAGTGGATTTGTTGTCTCCATGACCCTCAATTAAAATTTTAAAGTCCCTAGTCACTAATTGACTTAGGATTTTTAATATTCATGTCACTAAATCCCTAAGTTCAAATGCTATTGATGCAATCAAGAATTATTATTTTATATTTTGTATTTTATTTATGTTTTGGATATCATGTAATTTTGGACTATATTTTTTATGTGCCCGGTGATGGAAATCAACCCATGATCATGCTTGGGTATGGTTCTCTTTGGTAATCTGTTCTCCTTTGGTTTTCCACTCATGTTGAATTTGTTTACGTACTTCCTTAATGGCTAAGTGGGTATTCATCTTTAGGCTATTTTTGTCCTTAGTGGTCTTGGCTCATGTATGTCTATATTGGTTGGTGGTTGTGTATTCCCCATGCAATTTTGGAATCATTGCTAGCCATTTTTTCCTACAAATTTTGGTTTCCTATACTTGGAACTCCTGCTTTATCCCATGTTATTTTGGTCTATTATCCTGGGCTATGATTTCTTGTTGTTGGCCATCCCCCTTCCACCTTTTGTTGATTCCTAGTCTAGTGTTTTATCTTCTCAAGAAGAGGATTCTATTGGCTACTTGGGGTGGCTCATTAATGTGGGTTGTTGGGAAATTTTTCTCCTATAAAAGGGGTTGTTTTGCTGTTGAAAATGGTGGTTGTTGGCTAAAATCTAATCCAAACCTGATTGTTTTCTTCCTAGCTTGAGAGCTATCTTCTTCCTACACCTATTTCTACTTTATGACCTTCTATCTATTTCTTCTCTCAATTATTACCATTCCACTTATTTATTTCTTCTCCGAAATATTATGAGTGTAAGGTGTTATTAAGCCTATTTATTGGTATTTGTTGGAGGAGTGATAGCTTAAGCTGGATCAAAATTTCTATGGCCACCATTGGTTTAATTTTTCCTTTGAGCATCATTCTCTAATTTTTAAATTTGCATGTGAGGTGACCTTTCTAGGTTGTTCCGAGGGTTGTTTGTTTTATATTTTAGTTTGTTTCTTGCAAGGTTTCCTAATCATTTAATTATATATGTTTACTATTATGTTTTATTCTGTTGGTGTTACTTTACACTTTATTGAAAGGAAGTGTCTGGTTGCATTCATAGTGTTCTCCTATTTGGCTATAAAAGTTAGGCTTCATCAATTTGGTATCGAGCCTAGGTTATCGTGTGAATCTTTTTTTAATGAATAATCAAAATAATCAACAAACGGATTGACAACAAATGATTATGCAACAAATGGAACACGATACATCAATAGATACACTGAAACTTTTTTACAAATTACAATCCAAAAATGATTTAAATGAAACTAAGGAATAAACCATAACACGATACATCAATGGATTAATGTGGTCAATACAAGATCAATTAAATATGTATCATGTTATCAAACTCGATGAGGCTTATCATATGGCTTTGAAAATTAAAAAAAAGCAACAAAGAAACAACAAATTTAACTCAACCAAACTCAAGCATTCTGTTGGAAGTAAAGTTCAAAATTCATAAATAATCATTAGTTCAACTTCTTCAAATTCAAATCCATGAATGAAACCTAAGAAAACTCAAGTTATTGAAAATGAAAAAGGAGTGATAGGAGCAAAATCAATTTTCCCCGTTATAAATGTGGCTTATATGGTCATCACTCAGTAGTGTGTAAAATACTACAGGAAATTCATTGATTACCGGCGGTCCGGACCGGCAGTTGTCAAGCCACCGATAGTAACGACGGCTTAACCGTCGATCTGACTACCAATTATTACAGGCGGTCCACCCGGCCTTTATGCAAGGATAAGCCACCAGAAATAGCGGCGGTCTAGAAACCACCTGTTTAATGACCGGTATTTAAAATTACCGTCGCATTATCGGTGGCTAGAACCGTCGGTGTTAAGTGATTTTAATACCGGCGAATAGAGCCGCCGGAACGCCACCAGAAAAAACCCTAAAATTCAACCATTCCGAGCCTCCCATTTCATTCCATATCCCTCTTTCTCTCTGCTGCGCTACGCTCGACCCCTCTCCTCCGCCCGCCCTCTCGTCACCGAGAAGATTTAGGCCGTCGACGAGGTCCCTCCCGCTGCCAACGAGGTCCCTCTGCAATCCCAAATTGTCGTTTTAGCCGCCGAAAACTTTAATATCGGACGGGTAATTGACGCCGCTAGAAATCTACTAAAACTGTCGGTTTATCATTGATGTCCGGCGGTAATCCGACGATACGCCGGCAGTCACACCGCCGGCAATTCCTTCCGTTGTGACCGCCGGTTAGCCGCCGGTACTTATCCCAGCGATCTACTGACGATCAAACGACAGTATTTTTACCGATGGTTTGACGGCCGAGAATGCACCGGTAAAAACACCGGTGGTGACTGGCACTCGAACCGCCGGAAGATAATCAGCAATACAAACCGCCGGAAAAACACCACCGGTAATGGTTTCCGGCTCAGTTTTTTTTGGCGGTTTGCAAATCGCCGAAAAGCAGCCGGTTATTTATACAACCGCCGAAAAATATGAGTTAGCCGCTGGTAATGAGTGATTTTCATGTAGTGAAAAAAATAACCACCTTGAACCAACTATATTGAACAAGCAGAAAGCAATATAAATTTAGAGAAAGATGAATCTGAAGAAGAAAATGAGGAAGAGATGGAATCAATTGGTGTTGAAGGTGACTAGGGAGATAGTTATTTAGTTATCCATAGAGTTTTGACCACAAAATTAGATGCCAGAGAAAAAAGGCTTAGAAGAAATATTTTTTCCAACCACATGTAATGTAGAAGAAAAATTGTGTACTTTTATGGTTGATAGTGGTATCACTTGAAATTTTTGTCACAACTCATGGAGGATAAACTTAAATTAAAACCAAAACCCCTTCCCAAGCCTTATAAAATATCATGGTTTAAGGAAGGAGGAGAGGTAACAATCACACAATAATGCCTTATTAACCTTTCAATTGGAAAATTTTACAAAAACCAAGAACTATGTGACATCATGCCACTCAAAGTATGTCATATTCTACTAGGTTGACCTTGGAAATATGATCATAAGACCATTCACAAT